TCGTTTTTTTTATATTGGCGTATTGATTTTACCATAATTTGTAATATGTTAAAATATGTAAAAATATGTAAGAATACATAAAACTTTTGCCCATCTCTACCTGCTGCTAATGCGGGCCAGAATTATGAGATTCCGAAATATTTGCGTGCGCATGAGCACATCACTAGCATGTACGCGAACGTATATACAGTCAGACCTCCCTAAATGCAATGCGACGGGACTCTATACAAAAATTTAGTCAAACGTACACTTAGAGAGGTATTGCATTTAGGGAGGTAAAAATCTATACAGTAGATGTAATATTAGTTGGGCCCAAGAGAAGGCGTGCATTTAGGGAGGTATTTCATAGAATGTGCACTTAGGGGGGTAGCATGTAGGGTCTGACTGTATATACTTATCCGACATTTCATATGATCATGTAAAATTTTTGCAATGATATTTTTTGTATGAAATTATGTAATCAGTTTTGCAAAAAATCACAGAAAAAACTTCACAGTCATATTACTATCGGATAACATCATTATTGAACATACGTACGACAAATAACAGGAAATTTTTTGTCGTCTATCCAATAATGCACACATACATGAATGAATACTTTGGACTGAACCATATTATAGACGGATTTAGAACGACCTATTGAAATAGCAGCCGTTCACAAAGTAACGTTCTTGAATCATGATTTGTTAAAATTTACAGTAATTGATTTCGAAACATCAAGAAAGGCACTTTAAACGATGGATATTGACACAGCATGTATATCAAGCGAAGTTATACGCAATTTTTTTCTAAAAAAATAAAAATAAAAATAGGACAAAATAAAAAAATAGAAAGAAGTAGAAAAATAAAAACAAAAATAATTAAATAAAACAACTAATTAACTCTCTTAATACAATTGGATTAAAGCTACAGTTAAAAAAAAAAATAATAATAATATATTTTTTTAAAAAAAGTCATGGTTTGAGCGCGACTACGTCGCGCAGTCATATTTCTAATTTATCGATTGGCATTATCAATTTAATTTGTTGTATAAAGTTGAGTGTAATTCAAATTTCTAATTTATTGATGTATTTTTCTTGGCATTACAAATTAATTTAATCAGAGTTTTAAGAAAATTGTTTTTGTAAGATATTAATATTAAGTTTATAGGTAGGGATCTAACTGTGTACCTACTCATGTTTTTCATAAATTTGGGATACCTAAAAGAATTTATTAGTTTCCCTAACTTTTCGGACAACGAAATAGTATCCGAAAAGTTAGGTAATTCATTTTTAAAAAAAATGTATAATTTTTTTTTTAAAATCAATAATTAGCAAAATTATTTTAGCACAATAATATATAAGATATTTTGTAATAAATCAAACATAATGATACATAATCTGGTTTAATTCATCTGAGTGGAAAAAATGAACTGCGATCTTTGCGAACCATTCTCATAATTAAAGGTTTAAAAATATGTAAAGTACACACAACCATCAATGCTAAGGCAATCCAATGACTAAGTATATTCGTCTGTTCAACAGCTATTCCAAATAGAGTCCAAGCAATGATTGCTGCACCAGCTACATCTTTAAATCTCTCAATATAAACAATAGCAATAACTTCCATAAGAATTAATCCTATTATTACAAAAACTAGAACTACCATGGTTGGACCTTTATCATTAATATTAGGTTTAGGTGTAAATAAAGTAAAAGTGGTAATGATTGTTAAGACAAAGATCCAAGCGTGATAAAGGGAAAATGGAATATGGATGAATAACAATTCATATTTGTCTTTAGGACGAAATTTTTCTTTAAGATTCCAATAGATAGCAGAAATTAGCACAGCAGCTACTATTATCGCTAACCATGATATAATGATTAAATCTATATGCTATTAAGTAAAAATGTATAAAAGTATTAATAATAAATATGTATAATGAAGTAAAAATAAATATATGTATAGTGATAAGAAGAAGTAATACCCATAAAGTCAACCAGAGAGTATTAAGTAACGTAACAGCAACAAAGTACCATTGAATGCCATTGTCAAGTAGATCGTCGCGAAGTTCAAAGACTTGATATATGACTAAATTTGAAATATGCAAGAATTAATCGAAATAAGAATTTTATACGTAATTTAAGTATTTTATTGTTATATTATTACTTACCAAATCCAGCAAGAAAAAGATGAATAATAACCCAAATAAAATAAGTGAAAAAAACAGGACCAATATATGTATTAATTACAGCAGGAGTGTACGGAGATTTTTCCTAAGTTTTCATCAAAATAAAAATTAAAAACTAAAGAATGTTAGATTGATTAATATAAAATAATATTGAAAAGCACAAATTTTCACAAACGTTAACATTACCTGATTAACACTAAATTCCCAAAGAATGCTTACACTAAGAAACAAAAAGTATGCTAATATATTTGAAGTTTTTATAATTGTTGAACGTTTAACCATTTTAGATTATTATTATTTACAACCAATTTTTGTAAGTTGTTTTGATAATAAAATGAGAAATTGTTACTACAAGACACAAAGATGAAGGTAAAAAACAAAAAAACTTTTTTCATGGTGGTGGCTATATTGTATTTAGTTGTGTTTAGTGGCTGTGATTAATAGATTCGTTCGTACGTACGTAAACATAAAGATAAGCATTTCTTTTAAGAATGAAACTAGCATTAAGCTAACGTTAACGTTAAACTGTTTGTAAACATAGTGTGGCTTGTAGAAACTACATGCCAATATCGATACGTACGTACATACATACATACGTACGTACGTATTAGTTGTCATAATTCCTAAATTTGTATAAAGTTTGATTTTAACCTTTACGTTAACGTTAATCTTTCGGTTTAATCCAATGAGTACGTACTGTACGTATGTACGTACGTACGTTATATCAAAGATTATGTACTACTTACACACGTTAGTACGTACATACGTACACAACTTTTACGTACGTACGTACATAATTCATTGTTATCTTAATGCAAGAGCGTTACGCATGCAAAGTTCATACAAGAACTCATTTGAAACGTTAATTATTAAAAAGATCAACACCAGATATGTGGATGATCCATTAAATTTATGTATTACATGTTTTAAAGGTACGTACGTACGTACGTACTCGAATGTTATGTTTTAATTTAGCTATATAACATTAATTTTAATAAATTTAGAATCTAGCACCATGGTTAATAGAAGACAAGAATCTAGCACCATGGTTAATAGAATCTATTGATATTAATTCTAGTAAACACTAATTAAATGAAAAAAATATATAAAATATTTCCTAACAGTAAAGGCAAGGTGAATCTATACCCCATATGTCCAAAATACACAAATAAAACTCATTACAACAATCAAGAATTTTCCATTGCTTTCAGGGAATTTACTATCACATCCCGACTTTTTCGGAGTAGTAGTGGGTTTAGGTGATGATGAATCAGGTGCGTCACTAGACAAAGCAGCTACATCACTAGGCGTAGGTTCTTGCGGTGTCGTAGCTGATTGAGCAGCAGAAGGAGTCTGCACAGCCGGAGCCGGTTGTGTTGGTGTTGGTGTAAATACAGGAGGAGTAGGTGTTGCAGGAGCACTCGGGGATTCTTTGAATCGTTAAATAGTTATGAGTAATTCATTTTTTTAATTACAAATAAAATCAAAAAAAAGTTTTTTTTTTGAAAGTAACATTACTAGTGAAGGGCCATGGAGTTCCTGTAGTATAATTTGCGGGCGGATTACTATTACCAGCTTCAAGCACAGTGAACCTAGTACTCCAACTAACCCCTACACCAGGTTTTGCAGGGTCCGAAAACATCAAAAAATAAATTTTTCCTGGAGGATATCCTAATGAGCTGGGCGATGGAACAATAAAATTTAAAGATGTTGCGGTGTTTGGCAAATTTTCCGCAAGAGTTAATAATGGAATTTGCGGATTATCTGGACCTGTCATGAATTGGACTTTTATTCCTGACATTGTGGAAGATTTTGGTTCCCCAGCGTCCGTCCACATTGCCGTTACCTTTTGTTTATGAATAAAAAATTAAGGATACAATAATTAGATTAATGTGTTATTTTCCTCAATGGTATAAATTCTCATGAGTGTTTGAAATAAAAAGTAAATTACATTATCACCACTATTCCACACAGTTTCACCGATAGGGATACTTGGGGATGGAGCAGCAAGTGAAAGGCTAACTCCAATTACAAGTGCTAACAAGCAACTTAGATATATTTTAAAAAACCTGTCCATTTCAATAATAATAAAAAAAAAGAAAGGAACTTAAAAAGAAAGGAACTTAAAAAAACTTAATCGGCAACTTTATTTAATGCCGATAAGAAAGAATGAGATTGGTCTGTTAGGACAAAAGAAAGTATGTTTTTTTATTTTTTTTCTAAAAAAAGTCATTCTGACTTCAAACACTGCATCCTTTTATACATTACCTTCTTGTCTTGCGCTATAAGAAGTAACATAAAGACAGCATAGTATTGTTTATATTAAATACTTCCATTTTCGGAAAATTTTGGAACACATTTTATAAACCTCATATCGAATATAGGTCGATATAGGCAGTTTGTGATTCTTAACACAAATCTGTTAGTAATAATAGATTCGGGTAACAAGATATCGGCATTGGATTTGATTTTAATATAAACCGTACTACATAAGATCGATTACGTATTACAGTAACAAACTATTCAGTTGGAGATTCAATATATATCAATATTAAGGTTTCACATAATTGTACGTATCAATCAAACGTTAAACCACCATTAAGTTCATTTAAATTTAGAACTTGGATCCCTTACATATCCATTCCCGCATGTAAGGCATATATGGCGAAGTATTTAGCCAATGAATCGGATTAAAAATTTTTAGCTCACATAACATAAAGTATAAAATCTGCATTCATTTATAAAAATGTGATTAAAATTTTTCTCATAGTGCGTACTAGTGATAGGTGACGAAATTTGACGAAATAAGTATTTCATCAATTTCGTCACTATGAAAATAATTTCGTCACTTACTATATAATTTCGTTAATTCCGTCATTGCGAAAATAAAATAATTCGTCACCCATCTATAGTGCGTACTAGAAAGTACGTACTAAAAAGGAAACATTGAATTTAATAAAATAAAAAATAACAATAATATTATGCCTGTTAATTTACGGCTGTTAATTTATTTGCATGTACAACAACCTTCGAGATAGTCAAAGAACATATTTATTTGTTCACTGCTGTAACTGTCAATCAAAACAGCCCATAATTTACTAACCAATTTCTTTAATTGGAAGAAGATACTATATAGACTTTAAATGATTCACACACATATATATACGCTACAGCAAAAGGTATATATTCAAGGAATCAAACTCAATATGTTTAATGCATTATAATGATCTTGTTTTCAAATTTTCAAATAATAGTCATTGAAACGTGAGTTAGTCAAATATTGAAATTCATTTTAATTTAAACAATTCTAACCCTATCGCTATTGTATAATTTTATTGGATTGTTTTTGTCATTGGTGTTTATATGATAGCATTTCCGTTTTTTTTTATATATATATACTGTATTTATTTAACTTTGGGCAAACCAATTTCCTCTTAATTATAAAAACTAGAATAATTACTTCTTAAATAAAGATAACTCAGAGTTCAACATTGGAAAGTGTTTCGTTCTGCTAATTCTCGCCGATATACTGCATAACAAGTCAATTAAATAAATCCGTGGTTATACAGTATCGTAGAACTAGTGATGTAATCTAAAATTCTAATTGATCTTAAGTATTCGGACAAAATTTATCCACACCTTGATCAAAGTCTTGCCATTATTACAGTATTAAGGTTGGAGTAATTCTATAATTTTGATAGTATTAGTGTTATGTGACCTTGACCGATTCGGTTTATCCCGGATCAATTTTTCACCGAATTTGACCATACATTTTGTCACACTACATTCCTGGTGCAATTAATATAATTCATCAACATCAGTCACACCTGCAAAAACTTTTTTACAATTGACATTCTTACAGGCTGAATACTCTATTACCTATCATGATTGTAGGTAACAGAAAAATTACGTTCATTTCCATTAAACAAATTGAAATATTACGTAAATTATCACGTTCTTATAATACAAATCGAGTATATTAACTCAGTAGATTAGCAGAATTTATCATGAACGACCTTTGTATAATTACGTTAAGAAGTGTCTTGCCGTCGTTTACTCTGCAATTTTTACAATATTTGTAACATTCGATCTGTCAAACTAAACTCATTCATAACACATCTAAGGAATACTTAACTAACTTAATGCAAATGAAATGAAAAATATTATGTGATAACAAAAGATTAATAAATCAAATGGCTTATTTTAAATATTTATTACAGTGGCCACAAAAAAGATCCGAAAATAATTATTCACGCCAAACAATCCATAAATCGAGAATGGCTTGATTATTCGTGGTGTTTAAACAAATTCTACAGACTAGTTACAGACTTTAGAATTCATTTAAATCTAAATAGATCAGCTATAGTCGGAAATACATGAACGGGCAGATCTGCTTTCCCGTAAATGATTTTTATTTTAAATGAATACTATGAAAGTTGTACTTTTATTTAAATCTAAAATTATCCAAACTGATCTACCGCTCTCGTATCACTGCGAATAATCGTCGTCAACTGTGTAACGATAATACTAATCCATTTTCGATGATTTTAAACTTAAAATGAATCTTGATATTTTATAGCATTTATTTAAACAAAATCAATGAATGATTTAGTCATTTATAAAAAGACAGAACAAATTTATTGCATATTATTTTTCCGGAACTTTTAAGTAAAAATTGATGTGTTTAAATACATACTTACATTAACTAACGGCTATACATTATTAAAAAAACATAAGTGAAGTGAACTTGGCATTTCATGTGATAAAGGTACGTATCAGAATATTTAGTTAACAACTAGATTTCTGACTACCATTTTTCCTATTTCTTAATTCCGCCCGGCATGATGTACTCTGACCTAAATTATCGTTATATCTTCCTATATAAAATTTAGATTGGAATGCGTATGAATGCGCATGAATGCACGCACGCATAAACCCATCTCTAGGTGTACAGTTTAAGAAAAGAAAGTAAAATAAGAT